AAAATAATCTATTCCCTGCCCCAGTCACAGCCCTGCAGCTATTAGAAAGCAGCCACGTCTAGAACCTTCTCTATACCAGGCTAAATATCCTAAACTTCTTCAACCCTTCTGGACTATTCTGGTTTCTAGACAGCCATCCAAAAAGGGGCATAGGCCCCTCAGCTGTGGTCAGGACCAGAAAAACCAGCAGGCTCCCCCCAAGAGCCCCAACCCTGGTCCCCGGGTTTTCTGTGGGTTTCCATGCACACAGCTGGCTTTCCCACCTCCGTCCTTGGCAGCCTCTCCACACTCCTGACTCATCCCAGCCCACAGGCATCGAGGAGCCCCAAGTCTTCCTTATGAACCACTGCTGAGCCACAACCACTGCTGAGCCACGTCTCTCCCACCTACTTTGGGGAGGGGAAGGTAATCAGATTTTTTTATTTACTTACTTTTTTTTTTTAAAGAGGAGATACTGGGGACTGAACCTAGGACCTCATACATGCTAAGCATGCGCTCTACCACTTGGAGCTATACCCTCCCCCCTTCTCCCACCTATTTTAAACCGAAGTGCCAGGATTTATGTTGATCTCTGTAGTTTCACCTGGCAGATGAGGTTGACTATCCTTCAGCCTGCCGAGGAGGCCTTCCTAATCTGACACCTGAACTCTTTTCCAGCTGAGAGAGAAATCTGATCTGGAAGTCTGAAGCTCTCCTGCCAGGGTGGCCTTACTCCATCAATGTGGACTTCTTTTTTTTTTTTAATAGAGGCACTGGGGATTGAACCCAGGACCTCCTGCATGCCAGGCACACACTCTACCACTGAGCTATGCCCTCCGCGCCACATGGCCTCTTGTGTGGCTGCAGAGCGGGCGTAGAGCCCCTGGGATGGTAGGAGTAGTGTGGTCAAGCCTAAGAAAGCCTCACTGTCTGGTGATAGATTTGAAAGACCAATTTTTTTGTTTCCTTTTTTTTCCGTTTTTTTAGGTAAATGATTTTAAAACTGGCTTAAAATGTTACAGCTCAGAAGTTCCCATGTGGAGATAACCAGCAGGATCCCATGGAGGAACTTGTAAAGAAACAAATCCCCAGGCCCTACCTCCAGTGTTTCTGAACCAGTCAGTCCAGGGTGGAGCTTGAGAATGTGTGTTGTTTTTTAAGCTCTGAGGTTACTGAATCCACACTGGCTCTCGATGATCCCCACTGCCCTTTCTGAACACCCACGGGCAATTGCTTCCAGAAGTCCACGTCTCTGTGGCTGTCTTCTGCAGGGTCCTCTCTGCAGGAACGGGGCTACGGCCCTCTGACCAGGGTGTCTGGCCCAAAGCAAATATCAGTTCTTTAACTGATGGCTCAACAAAGCTGGGGGCTGGGGAAGGGGTGAGGCTCCAGGTGCTCCCTTACTTGGGGTACCTCTCTTGCTCTGGCCTTCCGCTCCATCATCCCCTAGGGCTCCTTGGTTCTGCAGGGTGGAGAAGCTAGGGCAGAATGGGCATTGAATGGGGCTGCGTTCTCTAAGGTTCCACCTCAGCGCCAGGATCAGTGTATAATATTTGAAGTGGCACCAATAAACTCAGTCATCAAGAGAATGTTTTAATGTCCTAGATTTTTAAATCAAAATGCACGCACAAAAATCCATGGCGAACAAAATTTTAAATAAAGACAGGATCGGTAATGGTGCCAAGCCATGTCAGGGGCCTGAGGTAAAAGAAAAAATAAGTCACAGAAATGATGCAGAAAGAGAGTTCAGAGCCTGTATCACCCTGCTCCCTCCCTGCCAGGCTGCAGGCTGACCCTGGTCCCTCTCCCACCCACATTGCTACAGCTCTTGTCCAGAAGTCCCTCCTGCAGAAGCAGTCACAGCTCTTGCTGGTTTGGGTAACACCCTCCCTGCCGGCTCAGGCTCACCTGTAGAGGTCTGAGCTGCTCCATGCTGCAGCTTTTCTTAAAGTGCTTCCCCTTCCCCACCCTGCCTACTCCTGTCCTTCCCATATATAATGTCCCTGCATTAAACTCAGAAAGGAAGAAAGGGAGAAAGGGAGGAAGGAAGGAAGGAAGGAAGAGAGAGAGAGAGGGAGAGAGAGAAAGAAAGAAAGAAAGAAAGAAAGAAAGAAAGAAAGAAAGAAAGAAAGAAAGAAAGAAAGAAAGAAAGAAAGAAAGAGAGAGAGAAAGAGAGAAGAGAGAGAGAAAGAGAGAGAGAAGGAGAGAAAGAAAGAAAGAAAAGAAAGAGAGGAAGGAAGGAAGGAAGAAAGAGAAAGAAAGAAATGATGCAGGAAAAAAATATTAAAAATTCTAAAAATATCCTTAGAGAGAGATATTACATCCATGACACAAGAATAATAGGAGAATTTTTAAGAAAATACATAATCAGGAGACAATAAATAGCTCTTGGAAATGAAAAAATGATAGAAAAAAATTAGTAACGTTAAGAAAATAAGGTTGAGAACATCTCCCAGAAACTGGACCAACAGCAACACGCAAATTAACAAGTAGACGACAGAAAATGCAAAGGGTGGGCAACAGAAGAGAGGGGAACGTTGGGGATCAATCCCTGAGGTGGACATTTAATCAAGGGGTCTTGTAGAAAGAAGAGACTGTGTAGAGAGAAGATGATCAAAACAATAAAACAAGATTTTCCAGAACTGGTGAATATGTCTCTGGGTTGAAACAGTCCATCAAGTGTCCAGCACAGCGAGAAGGAGCCAGAACAGGCACAATGCGGCACCCTCAGCATGCTGGGGTTAAGGGAACACACTGAAAAGCTTCCGGGGGCAGGGGGAAAGCAGGTGTCAACAAAGATCGAGCATAAGCATGACATCAAACCTCTCAATGGTGACGTCAGAAGCCAGAGACTGTGTGAGATGCCTGCAAACTTGTGAAGGAAAACTTTTTAATCTAGAATTCTCCATTCAGCCAAACCATCAATCAAGTGTGAGGATAGCATAAAGGCATTTTCAGTGCAAGTTCTTAAAAGAATTTTTCTTCTTCTGTAACTTTTCTCAGGAAGCTAAACAAGAGGGTGAAGTGGGAAAGAGAAGACACAGGGTCAGAGAACAGAGTGCCCAACAAGGAGAGACAAGGGGGTTCCCAGGCGGAGAAGGAGGTCCCAGGATGGCTGTGGGCAGGTGGGCGAGCATCTGGTCCTGGTTGGAGCAGGATGATGCGAGACAGGTTTCGGGGGGTGGGGGAGGGGGCGGGGGAAAGAACTGACAGGGGTGTGAGTACAGCTCAGTGGTAGAGCACATGCTTAGCAGGCAGGAGGTCCTGGGCTCAATCCTCAGTACCTCCACTTAAAAAACAAAGAAATCTAATTACCCCCTCCAACAAAAATTAATTTAAAATAATAAAATGAACTTTTTTAAAAAACTGACAGGTTTGACCACACCAAAAATTATATTCGAGGCCAATGGATATATAAGAATATAGGGACAAATTAGCAGTCTGGAATTAGCAGATACAAACTACTACATATAAAATAGATAAACAACAAGGTCCTACACTATAGCACAGGGAACTACATTCAAGAGCTTGTAATAATGTATAATGGAAAAGAATATGAAAAAGAATATATATGTATAACTGACTCACTGTGCTGTACACCAGAAACTAACACAACATTATAAATCAACTACACTTCAATTGAAAATAAATAAGAAGAAAAAAACTAAAATAAACAAATAATTTTTTAAAAGAATATATAGCCATGGTAAGTACAGAAAACTAAGCAAGGGGTGGGGGGGCAGGAAAAACAAAAATGATGCAAGAAAGTAAACAATGATGCTATTTTGATTGGATTAGTGGTGAATAATATTTACATGATTGTAAAGATTAAAAAGCAGAGCATATGGATTTAACAATAATATTAAGAATGCTAAATGATGCTTATGGGCGTATATAAAAGGCACATATTCATCTACACAACAGGCAATCAACAGATAATGTCTAAACAGATTTTTTTTAAGAGGCAGCAGTGTAAGCAAATTACTTAGGAATGTGGAGGTACCGCCAGGACAAAGGCCCAATGTGGCGCCTTGGGGCGGGGGGCAGGTCTGGTGGTGGGGGGCTGACTGCTGTGTTTTGTTTTCCGATTTTAGCACTATTTGACCTTTTGACTCTCTGCATGCACTTCTTTGATTTAAAAATTATTTATTAAAACATAAAGTAAAGAAACGCCAAGAAGCACAACCTCTTGTTGCTTCTCTTTTCACAGTTTTTCTGCATCCTGAGAATCCACCCACTTCACACACAGGCGCCTACACACACGGCCACAGGCCCACTCACACAGTCACACACACACACACTCATCCCAGACACTCAGAAGCAGCCCACAATGACAGGCACACAGGCCAATGTAGTTAATATACAATGACCCTCAGACACCTGATTACAGGTGCTCCCACAGACACACAGAGGCCCCCATCAGCCTCCCAGGTGGCTGGCTGGAGGGCGGGGCCGGCACCGCCAGGTCACCACTTCCTCCCACTTCCTCCCTGCGTGGCCACCCCCAGAGCTGCCCCAGGCAGAGGAGGTTTTCTCCCAGAGAATCACCCTAATTGCCTCCCTACTCAGAGTGCCCTGCCCTGAGCAGCTAGAGCTACTGTGCCATCAGCCCTTTGGGGACACATTGTCTATAGATGGTGCAGAAATGAGGTAGGGGAGGGGTGGAGTTGGCAGCTGGGTGTGACTAATAACACCACCTTCATTCAGGTTTTAGTGGAGGCCCTAAGAAGTGCAAGAGTCCTGTGTCAGGAACCCTGTGGACATGCTGTGCATCCTTGAGCAAGTCACTTCACCTCTCTGGGTCCACAAGGAAGTAGGCAGCCTGTGAAGCTCTGAGATGCTGAAATTTTATGACCCAGGCTGGGCCCCACTTTCACCCCTCCCCTGGGATCCCTCTCTTCATGCTGATCTCCAGAGCCAGCCCCCAGTGGATACACTTGTGTCTCTGATAAGTGTACCCAGGGCACCTGGGGAGCCCCCACCGCCACTTTCCTCCCCCTCGACGTTCCTCCAGCACTCACCACCACCCTGGTCCCGTTATCCGGCAGTGTGTCAATGGCCAGGGTGCCCCCACCCAGGTCCTGGCTCAGCTGAGTTCTGTTCGGCTCCAACACCTGCCCAGGGCTCTCTCGGGCTCTCCGATTCCAGCCCTGCGTGGTCCCCTTGGCGGCCCATCCAGAGCCTCGGCCTGCATCCTGACCTGGGAGAAGGGGACAGAAAGCTGAAGCCTGGCAGTCAGAGTGAAGGTCCAGAAGGGGGACCAGCCCTCTTACTCTGCAGAAGCCCTGACCCCAAGCCATCATTGACTTTGGAGACACTGGCTCCCAGGGCAGGAGATACCCAGCATGCACTGAACTCCACTCCACGTGCTTTGTACACACACCTTTAGTCCTCACTCCAGCCCTTCACAGTAGATATGATACTCTCTGTTTTGCAAGCAGGAATCAGCAGCTCATAGAGGTTAAAGAAGATCACACAGTGGGTTAGGGATGGAGATAAGTTTCAAACCCAGGCTGATCTGCCCCCTAAGGGGTGATTCTTCTCAACCTCAGCTGCACACTGGAATCATCTGGGGAGCTTTAAAAATTCCTGATGTCTGGGTTCCAACCCAGAGATTCTGACATAATTGACCTGTGATGTGGCCTGTGCATTAGGATTCTTAAATGATCCCCAGGGGAGCGTTTGAGAAACTCTGGACCTAACAAGGGCAGACAAGGGTGAGAACAACTGCTCTGGGACATTCCAAACCAGCTCCCTACTTCTCTGCTAGAAATGGCACATAATCTCACCTTCCAGGGGACTCTATGGACGAGAAGCCAGAGAGCAGATTTCTTTCAGTTCAGGGCTTCTCAACCTTGGTACTACTGACATTTTGGACTGGGTAATTCTATGTTGTGGGGGGCTGTTCTGTGCATCACAGGATTTTTAAGCAGCATCCTGGCCTCTACCCACTAGATGGCCAGTAGCACCTCCTTCATCAGGTTGTGACAGTTGAAGATCTCTCCACAGTGGGGACCACTGTTTAGTCTTATCACTACCTTCAAACACCTTGGGCAAGTTACTTTTCCCATAAAACAAGGAGTTTAGACACCATCAAGGGTGGCAAGTAGGTTTCATCTCAAAAACCATCTCCAATAGATTAGTGACAGCCAAGAGGGCTCTAATTAAGAATTCTAGTGGGGAGGGAAATAGCTCCATGGAAGAGTGCATGCTTAGCATGCATGAGGTCCTAGGTTCAATCCCCAGTACCTCCATTAAAAAAAAAAAAATTCTGAGAAAAGGTTGTCAGATAAATTAACAATGCCTGGGGGAGATCAGTTAGCAATGTCTGTCCCAGCACAGGATGGGAGAGTGTTCCTCACTTAGATGGCCTCTCCAGTTCCCTGTAGGTTGTCAAAGTTTTTTCTAAATGACACAGAAACCATGCTTTTCCATTTCAGAAAGATTTATTCCCCCAAAGATAAGTCTTACACCGTCTCTCCAGTTGCCACACCTGCTATGGACGTGTATGTGGGACACAGATCACCAGATGGGTGGATCTGATAGTCCCTGTGATCTTCATTCATTTCAGGCCTGCTCTGCGTCAGATGCCCTTTTCCACCTCTGCCTGCCCCACCCACTCCCCAGAGCTCCTGGCTGTAGCCCTCTCTCCTAGAGCATCCACTAGCAATCTAAGTATATGTCCATCTCCCTGGTAGACTTGAGATCCCCCAGGACTCTCCCACCTTCTGCAGATGTGTATCCTCGGGCCCTGGCAAACAGTAGGTGCTCAATCACTGCATAATTGAGACCACGATACTGGAGGTAACTTGGGAGCCAGCAAGGATAGAGGCTGAGACAAGCCTTGGCCAGGACCAGGCCTGGGGCTGAGGCCAGGACTCCTTGCTGTGGGGCTCTGGTTTGTCATTAGACATTTTATCCAATTAAGTCATTCTTGGCTGCTGGTGGCTGCTGGACCCTTGCCGGCCCCCCTTTTCACTTCTCTGCCCCTAATCGCAACCAGATGCTCTGGAGAAGATGAGGAGACGGTGGTCTCCCGACCCCTTCCCCAAGATGCCCACTGGCTGAGATGGACCTGAGCCTGGTGCTGGGAAGGCAGCCTGCCCGTGGCCCAGATCCCAAGCCAGGGCTATCTTGCCTATCTCGGGTGAGGCCTATAGCTGCCTCTGGAGACAGAACTGTTTGTGCTGGGCTGGTCTCCCCAGCTCCCAGGGTCCTCCTGCAAGCAGCCCTCAGGCCTGGGCAGAAGCCAGAACAGGAAAGGAGTGTGTGCAGAGCAAGTGGAGGAACTCAGCTGGCCCGGAAAGGGATGCTGGGGATTTACAGGCATCACCGTCCTGCAACGGAGACGGGAGGGTGCCTGGATGGAACAGGTCCCAGCCAGAGATGAGATTAGGGAAGGCACACCTGCCACCCACAAGCTGTGTGACCTTGGACCCATGAGTTTACCTCACTAAGCCTCAGTTTCCTCATCACTAGAATGGGGGTGACAATCATGCCAATGGCACAGGCCACCCTGAGCATCAGGTAAAAACCTACACAAAAGAGTTTTATAAATAGGGAAGCTCTGGGCCAGGAGCAGAGGCAAAGAGTTTAGGAAAGAGAGAGGGGCAAGGGACAGAGAGGGAGGTCACCAAGGACCCTGCCCTACCCCAGCCTAACCCCGAATCTTGCCCGCCCCACTCACACCACATCTGTCTCCCTGATGCCCCGCCCACTCCCAGTTGGCTGGGACTGGACATCACCCCCGCAGCCTGCAGAAGCAGCCAACACAGCTGGTTGCTCACGTGCATGTGTAGGGACCCATGTGCACACACACAGCTTGTCCTGGAGGCCTGGGCCCTCCTCCTGTGGGCTCACACACGTTACACACACGTTACCTATCCAACCTGAGGCCACCCCCTGCTCGACCTCTGCCTTGCATTAGAGAGTTCCCTCTTCCCATGCCTCTGCATGTGGGTGCACCTGCCTGTGAGTGATGGCAAGCAGCTTCCAGAATACATGCAATTCATATATTCATCCACTCAACCGCCCGTGGCCCCAAGTAGCATGCAGTCTGGTGGGACGTCAGGATAGTCAGAATAATAATAAAAATAATAGCTAACTTTTAGAGAATGCTGACTCTGTGCTGGCAGTATTCCAAGTGCCCTAAAGTCATTAACTCACTTAATTCCCACAATCACCCCATGAAAGAGGTGCTAGTTTTTAGACGTGTTATAAACAGGGCAGCTGAGGCACAAGGACATTAAGGAATCTCCCCCAGGTCATACAACGAGCCCATGACAGAATGTGCACTCAGGCAGGCTGGCTTCAGGCTCTGCTCAGACCACAGAAAGTACAAGCAGAGGAGACGGGCAAAGGCAGGCTGTTCCCTGAGGTGCAGCGGCAGCCCCAGGGCCGGATGTTTGAAGCTGCCCTGGCAGACTGTACCCCGCCCCGGGATGCGAGGGGATGGCCCAGTGGTAGTGCCCCAACCCTCTTCACGTGCCACTGTCTGATCCAGGGCAAAAAGCAACGGGCTGACTTAGGAGGCCTGGTCATGCCACCTCCGTGCCTGGGCCAAGCCACCTTCATCCTACCCATCACCTGAGTTTGCCAGTCCAGCCCCGTGGCCATGGCTCAGTCCCGGCCACCACTGCCTCTTTCCTGATGGCTACTTCAGCTTCCACCCTTAATGCCCTTGGGCTAGTCTCCCACATGCCTGCCAGAGCATTTTGTCCAGAGGACAAACTTCATTTTATCTCCCTCATGCTTCCCTCTCACCATGACTCCTGGGCTAAAAGCCCAGCTCCTCCATTCAGCACCTGAGGCCTTTTGTGACCAGATCCCTGCTGGCTTCTCCAGCCTCCTGTCTCCCTAAAGCTGTCTCCAGGACCATAAATAAATCGCTCTCCTGATGAACTCCTGTGCATCCTTCAAGTCACATGAGATGTCACTTCTTCCCAGAGTTTCCTCTGACATTCTCCCCTGCCCCCTAAATGCTACCTGCGCAGTCTCAGCCCTGATGCCAACACAGCAATGCACCCTGTGCAACCACAGGCTCAGATGCCTGATGCAGAGCAAATGCTCATCAAGCAGATGGAAGGACAGAAGGCAGGCACCTTTAAATGTCTTGAGTATCTGAGACCCACAGGCCTGAGAAGATCCTTCCCTTGGGGCACAGCCTCACCAGAAACCCTCACTGAAGTGTCACACAATAAAAGCGCAGATTTGAAATCAGACAAGCTCGATAATGAACCCTGAATTGACTGCTTACTGACTACAACGTTAGATAAATTGCATAGTCTCGCTAAGCCTCAGTTTCCCCATCTGTAAAATGGGAATAATAAAACCTACACTTGGCAAGTCAGTTTGAGCATTTAACAAAATAATGTGCACAAACACACCCAGCAAAGCATACCTGCCTTCCAGGGGTTTCACAAGAGGACTGACTTTCTGAGCGGCCCGGGGAGGGCTCCAGACTCTAAGCTGAAATCCTGCTTCTCAGTTACAAAGCCCCCCAGCTGTACCCTCTCCCCTCCTGCTGGCAGGCAGGAGCCCACTGAGGACCCTGATCTGGGGAGAGGGAGGGAGGCATGAGGAAGGGACAGGGAGGGATGGCCGGTAGCTCAAAAGAAAAGTGGAGCCGAAAGGAGAAAAGAAGAATTTGAGTTTCTTTCAAAGGGACAGTCTGGGGTCTGTGATCCCCTCTGATTCATTCACTCATTTAATGCACGTTTATTGAGACCCTGCTGTGTGCCAGGCACAGTGCTGGGCAGCAGCAGTGAACAGGCAGACACAACCCCTGTGCCTATGAAGAGTCTAGTTGGGAAAGACACACACTAAACAAATGACGTGGCAGATCAGACCAGTGAGACAGGCTATGAAGGAAACACACGGAGGAAAGGGGTGGGGTGGTTGCTACACTGGACAGAACCATCAGGGTGAGCCTCTCTGAGAGGTGGGCCTTGAGCTGACTAAGACCTGGATGAAGAGAACTTATTTCCCCGAAGATCCGAGGTGGCAGAGCCCGTGTGTTGGGGGACCAACCTTGGCAGAGTGAGAACAGGAGTCGGGGTGGGGATGGGCTGTCCGACGGCCACCGTGAGAAGTTTGGATTTTAGTCTTGGTTTGTTTGGAGCTCCCTGGTGGGCAAAGAGGAGGCTGGAAGCAGAGTCATGGATACCAGGGGCCCTAGAGGCAATCTGGTCCAAAGCCCATTTTATAGATGGGGAAACCAAGGCTCAGAGAAAGGAGGAAGTATTCAGGGTCACCAGGGGTTGTTGCTGGGCCTGGTCTCCTGACTTTCAGGCCAGGACATCATCTGGAGCTGCCTTTTCCTTCTCTGTCTGCTTTAGTCACTTCTGGACCAGACCCTCAGTACCCCTGGCCCCACTGCCCCTGTGCACTCCAGTATCTTCCTGTCTGTCCATCTGTCTGTCTGTCAGCCTCTGCTGGTCTCGTCCACCACCTGACTATGTCTTTGGGTCACTCATCTTTCTCCTGTCCCTGTTCTAATGATAAATGAAGTTCCAAGTCTCCACTAAACAAGCCAATTCATGGAGAGGGAGGGGAGATCTTAGCTCCTTTCTGAGCCCCTCTCCGCCACCCACCACAGCCCAGAGGACTCGGAGCCCTGGGGCTGGATGGTGGCATCCTTCTGGTCCAGCTCCCATCTGCCCTTTCACTGGTCACCAGGGCTCCAGCACCAATGGGAGCCAGGCTATTCCTCTTTGGCAACCCTCCCCAGAATGTCCCACCCCCACATCGCTTCTCCCCAGAAGATACCCCCACACAGGGTCCCCCTCAAATCCAGCCTGGCCTGGAGAAAAAAGCCGTGAACTGAAAGTCAACAGCTTCCCCCTCTGGCTTCCTGAAGCTTCTTTAGGTCTAACCAACCTCTCCTGCTTCAGAGAAAGTCCATTTCTCCTAGCTGACTCCCAGTCAAAAGCGAGAAGACAGGATGTCCTCTACTTAGAGATGTGATTCAAGTCTCTACCGGCCTCCTCTTTTTGGCTTCCCCAGGAATCTACTATTCCAACCCAACTCTGAAGAGGCAGTCCTCAGCCAGGCCTGGGTCTGGCCACCATCACCCAGCACATCCTTGCTCCTCCCAATGCCCCCTTTCCCAACCCTCTCCATGGTTCTCCCAACTCAGTCAGGTTCAGAGCCCTCCCTCAGCAACCCAGGTACATTCTGAGGTCAGAAGGTCCCACAGGCTAGGACTGCAAAGGACCTCCAAAGTTAACCTGTCCAACCTATTCCTTTTTATACTAATATTTTTTAAATTTTCAATTACTCCATACACATAGTAACAAATCTGAAAAGGAAAGATAATCTTAAAAAACAAAAAAGATCTCTCATAATCCCACCACCAAGAGTCAAAGATTTTGCCCACAGCCTAACTTTATAAGTGAGGAAATAGACCCAGAGAAGGAAAGTAACTTGTTCAAGGTCACACAGCAAGTGAGATGCTGGGCCTAGAGGCCAAGTCTCTGGCCACTCTCTGTGTGGTCTCTCTGGTGTGCATCTTGTCACATCAGCTTCCACTGCCCTCTGACCACAACCTCCTCCTCAACAGGGACCCAGACCTGTCTCAGCTACATTCAGGGACCATTAAAGTGAAGAACGCTGTCAAAGATGCTTTGCCTGATGCCAGCACACCCCTGAGACACAGCAGCCCGACCACAGCACCCCTCTCACCAGCACCCTCCACCTGCTCCATCCCATCCGAGGGACAGCTATGCCAGTGAGGCCTAGAGCTCTGTCTTCCCAATTCTCTCTGTCAAGAGGCTTGGCTGCAATTATCCACCTCTCCAACCCCTGAAAAGGTCTGGGTACATGAGGAGAAAAGAGGAGAATGTAAAATTACTTGTTGAAAAATGGTTCTTCTTTTATAAAGGAAGGACTCAGGGTAGATCTCAGAAAGGACTTCCAGGTAGGAGAGCCAATTGTAGAGAACTGCTGTAGGAGGAGTGCGCAGGATAGGAAACACCCCTCCCATCCCCATCTAGAGCCAGAGCAACTGAAGGCCAAGGACCACCAGGGCAGAGCTGGAGTCACAGGAGGACCCTGGAGGCTGGGGGTGTCGGAGAGCAGCAAGTTGCTTCTTTCTGGGTCCAGGACTGCTCTCCAAGTACAAAATAGAGAGAGGAAGGTGTTAGGCCCTTACTTTCCTTGGAGGAGAAATGCTAGGTCTTCTCCATGCCCCTGGTTTTCCCACCCAGCCCCCAGCCAGGCTCAGCTTGGGAATAGGGGCAGGAAAGAGAAATAGGAGGCAAAGCTAAGGCAGGAGACACCCCAGTCCCGCATCTCATCAGATTTCAGCCTCACCCGGTGTGACCAGGGGTCCCTCTGACTCTCCCACTGTTCCCTTTGGGGTCAGAGCCCACTGCCTATGGATCCCCCTCTATTGAGGTCCCTCCAGTGTCCTTCCAAGAGGGAAGGAAAGATGGGGCATCAATGTCTGATGCCTCCACCCTCACTCCTACACCCTGAATGTTTAGGAAAGTGGGGTCCCTGTCCACCTGCCACAGTCCACAGGGCTCCTGGCCTCCCGCGTACTTCCCCCCTCTCCGCACTCCGGACATCCCCAGCCTGCGGGTACCAGCCCATGCCCACGCCTGCCTCGCCTCGCCGGCCTCCCCGCCTCCCGGCCCCGACCCCCGGCCCGAACCTCCCAGCCACGTCCTACCCTCGCTCCGGGCCGTCGGGCG